GGAGAGCTGGAAACAATGATGCTCTCCCTTGAGAATAGAGAGTACATCCAACCATTGCAGAATGGAGATACAATAAAGTATTTAGGATGTACATTCTCAGGAGAGCTACAGTTCAACGAAGATTCGGTGACCAAATTGAACAAAAATCTTATTAAACTGGTAACCTCTTCCTTGCTAACAGAAGCTAAACATTGTCAATCAGTATCTGTTCCCGGGTCTTACTTACCCTCTCCAAACTACACCCCTCACAAAGCTACATCCTGCCATACTTGACAGCATTGACACCATGATTCGCAGGAGTTTGAAGGTTATTGTTGGACTCCCTGCGAACACCTCCATGGCGATGTTATACGCTCCCAGGATGAATCGAGGATTAGGATTAATCCGCTGCCAATGGGAGGCTCCTCTATAACATTGGTCCATTGCTCAGCGACTGTCCAATGTGCTCGATGTCCTTTCCCATTCAATTTTTGACTATTCGGCTGAGGTGACTGAATGTGCCAAGAGATTGGGGGTTGATTGGGGTATTCGGAATATGAGAGCTCTACGGCAGACGCTACAACAAAATTCGTTTGAGGAATCCACTAATTGCAAGTGGCAGGGCATTGGAATTCTCCATTTTAAAGAAACCCCGAAAGCGAATAAATACATATACGATACATAAGAGATTACGCCTGTTTCAAGGAAGTATATTGCATAGATTCGGATGGATCCATCCGATATGCCAACATTGTAGCATTCCGTAAGACGGGAAAGTCAGCAATGATTTTGGATCCTATCGTAAGATATGAGACCAATGACCTCGATCAGGCAGACAAAGTGAAAAGGGAGAAAAAACAGACGTATGAGAAATACAGCCCTTTCCTGAGTGAAAAGTTTCGGGCCAAGAGTTCCACGTGAGAGGCCTTTGGTTCGGAGCTCGCAGAACGATACCAAACTCAACAAGGAGCTTCATGGAGGGCCTTGGTGTCGACATAAAGGACGTGGCAAGGTTGATGGAGAATATAATCCTCGACTACCTGGGAATCATCCACCATATGTGCATGGGAGCAGATATAGAGAGAGTTTGTTCATGGGGGGGAGGCATGCGTGTGTTACAACATTTTCATATTATTTATTGAACACGTCCAGTGTACTTTAAGTATTTGTATAAATTTTATAAAGTATGTTAGGAAGAAAGAGGAGAGAGTATGAGGAGGAGTAAGAAAAATGTATAAGGAGAGAGAAGGAAGAGAAAGGGATGTAGAATGATAATAAATGAATGAAAGAGATAGTATTAAAGAAAATAAATAAATAAAAAAGAAAGAAAACAAATTTAATAAATAAAAGAAAAATAATACACACACACACATATATATAAATATTGTATACTATGCTCATATATATTGTTAAGACTATATAATTGTATATTAGTTTTAAAAGATTGTCTGTAATGATTAATAAGTATGCTGTGTTTGAAGCGACCCAATGTAATTGGACAGCACCCTTTTATGAAAATAAAGTGATTCTTTCAGGGAACATAATTACCACAGAATGGATGAAAAAATAAAATAACCAGCAACATTATTTTATTAAAATCATTTTTGCACCTGTTTCATATGAAGTATAATTTAATAAATATTTTTTTAAAAGAATAAATAGAGATAACCAGTGTTAACAGATTGAAAAAAAAGGGAAAAGTTCTCATAGAATTTTTATCCTAAAAGTCTAATCAAGAAAGTTTGGGAATTGAACTTGAAGAAGTGAAAATAAACAGCACAGAAAGTGAAAATAGAGGAGACAAAAGGATAAGTCAAAAAAATTATTATGAATTATTGAAGGAAGTTAATCGACTGTTCTACATATCATAGGTGATAAATAGTCAGGACGCAGTCATTTTCAAAGTTTTCATAGGTGCCGATATTTTAACACAAGCACGTAGGTGATTATCAGGATGTGTTTTTAATAAGGTTATTTACTTACCAAAGTGCCAATAATTGAACACATTTAGTGCTCGAAACATGTACTGATGATAACCCACATGTTTCGGCTAAAAAATGCTGGCACCAATAAAAAACTTAAAAATGACTGCGTCCTAACTATTTATCACCTATAAAATTATTATGGTTGTAGTAACATTAAAGGACTATCAGAAGATATAAAAAAGTCCTTTAATGATCATGATGTGGGAGATCATGTCTTAAGTTTTAGACCAAAGAACAAAATTATTATAGTAATTTAAAAGACAAAATAGGAAAAAAATTATCAAGCATGATTGGTGTATAAGGATTCATGTTTAAATTGTCCAGGGATATACAGAACGGAAACAAAGCAATGATCTGTATATCAATGATACAATATACCAGTAAGAAATATATCAATGATAGAATGTACCAGCAACAGAATGATGTAAAAAAACATGAAAAAAGAACAGGAAAAAACAGTATTGGTACAATATGATTTCAGTAATGAACATAATTTTGATTTTGAGAAGGTTCAAATGCTACAAAAAGAGAAAAATACAGGCAAAAAAGAAAATTTTGTACATTACAGAAGACATAGATTAAACTGTTAATTTCAAATCAGATTCAAGGCAAATAGGTCAACATTATGCAGAAATAATAAGTAAAATTAATTTAGAAATATACCGAAATGGAAAAATAATGAGTTTGGTACTTGTTTGGAAATTTTTAAAAAATAATTTATGTTAAATTTTAAATATAAAAGTGTTTTATTGAATTGCCGAACCGATTTTCTGAAATAAAAATAAAAATCATGATTTTTTAAAAATAGGTTAAATTAATAACAAGACTGTGAATAAATTGTATTTATTTATAATATAATAATTATGAACTAGTTTAACAATACGTAAAAATAGTGTAATAATGCAATTTTTAATTTTTAAAATATTTATATTAAAATCATTTAAGAAAATAGGTAATGTTTGTTTTCAATTGGCAGGTGTATATAATGGATTAATACCACCTTAGTTTTCTTCCTACTGATGAAGAGAGAGTATTTTGTTTAATTTTCTATGCTGTGTAGAGGTAAGCAAATAGATTGTGATCAGAAGGCCTCAACAGAGTATGTTCAATTAAGAAAAAGTGACTCCGTGAATGAGGAAGAGGCTAAGACAGGATGACCTCAAGTGTCAGGCGGAAGGGCACCCAAATCACTCTTGGTCTACGAACTAAGGGATAAGCCTTAAGACATCGCAGGATCAAAACCATAAATGAAGGGATGAGCCTCCAAACTTAGTATGTAGGAGTGCAAGCAAACAGATGAGCATCCAGACCTTGTATGGAGAGAGAAGGAAAAGGGGTTAAAGGAGGCTAAGATAGAGTAAAATAAAAGTTAGATTGATAGAGAACCAAAAAGCTTGCATAAAATATACTGACCAATCTAAACCTTTACCTGAAGCTCTGACTACGACATCCCGAAGGATGGAGATGCAAGATTTGAATTAGCAATATGAGGATAGCTGAAGTAATATACGCCATGATAATATTGGCTAGCAAAAACCGTTCGTTTAAGTTACCAGTGTGATCTGAAACAAAAGCACTTAGCACGTGGAGAAAAAGGACTAATATGAACTGATTACAAATTAATAAGAACAAACTGATGAAAAGGAAATTATTACAAAAACTAGTCAGTATATATTTCTTGATTTGAAGTAAGAAATGTGGTACATGTAATCCAAAGCAACCTATCAAGAAGCCCCTATACAACAATGAATGCTGAATAATGAAGAAATAGTCAGGATAAACCTTGAACACCCTCCTTATAGGCCAGACTTGTCCCCACATGACTATTTTTTTCACACCCTGTAAGAATCACCTGGAGGGGAATGATTGAAAATCAGTGAAGAAATTAAAGAACACATGCACAATTGGCAGACAATATGCTCTTAAACCTATTATGAACAAAGAACATCCAATCTTCCAAATCAGTGGCTAAAATATCTAGGATCACTTGAGAAAGGCTGAAAGTAAGTCTTGTGTAAAATATTCATAAGCAAATGTATAAAAAATAATTACCATTTACATTTGATTCACACTCTTAACCACCCTGTTCTAACCCGAATGGGAGTAAAGATATTCATTTTGCAACACTGGCAAACAATATTATTAACAGACAAACAAGGTAGTCAAATAAATATTGTTCCAAATTATGCACTCAGGGATCTTCTAAATGTATTGACTACCAGCCTGTTCAGAAAAACTCTTAAGGGATTCCAGGAATCAATCAATGTATTAATCGTACACAGTGAAAGACACTATGCACTAGAAATGGTCATATATAGAGAAAAGATTTTTAGAGAATAAAATTACTACCAACCCAAAATCAACAATAAAGTAAGTTAAGTATTTATTAATATTTTTAAAAAGAAGTATTTTTACTTGAGTGAAAAATTCATACAAATTTATAAATTATCCAAAACAAACAAACCATGTTCGAATCTTTATACATATATTAACACGATGTTTTCAGTTAAGAATTTTTTAAAAATTATTAATGATTTTATAGTAATATAAAGAATTTCGCTGCTTTTAGATCCATTAATTTCTGTCTTAATCTATTTGTTTAATATAAATGAAAAATTATTAAAACCAACCTCATTGCTATTCCAGGGGCCCACTGATAAATTTTAAATAGTTTGAAGTTCGTTAATTCCTTAAACTATAAGGAACTTATAGGATACATAACTGCAAAACAATCTTAACAATTAATAATTCTAAAAATGGACAGCAGAGTAGTAAAAAAAAAACTTGAAACATGCAATTAAAAAAAAAAATATGAACTGAAAACAAATTGTGTTTTAATTAAAAATATTGCAAATACAAATAAAATTCATCATTAACTTTTTTTTTTAACCAATATTAAATACTTAGGATTGGAATACAAATAATAAATTAATGAAGGGCAATGCCACTCCAAAGGATTATATGATTAATACAAACAGCTAACCATTGCAAAATCATTCATTTATAAACAATAACATTACTATTTAACAAACAAACCTTCAATTGGATCACGATTGAGACCAAGCTTATTGATTATATACTGTGGAATATCATCCTTTATTCCTTGACAAATCTTAGCTTGTCCTTCTGCCTGCTCTAGCAAATGGTAAAATTCTTCTGGATCAAATTCAAGACACTCTAGTAACCTAGCTGGACGAGAAATAATCAGAAGTAACCGTCGAATCAGACCAGTTAATTGTGCTGCTGCTTCAGAAGATTTTTCTAATGTCTAAATTACAAAACAAACACTTGTAAAACCATTATCTCAATATATAACTACAGATGAACAATTAATTCTTTTATGATATTATATATCCCTTTTATATAAATATGTATAAACAATTTCCTATATTCCACATGAAGTAATCATAACTCAAAAATAAATAAAAACTGTTATTTTAATATCTAAAATTAAAAAAAATTATACATATCTACTGAGATGCACCTAAAAAATTATAATTATATTTAAACTAGCATTATTATTCTAAATATTTTTTCTTATATCAAGTTCATTTCTTTTCCCATAGGTCTAATATACACCCTTGTTATAACACAAATCATGGGGAAACAGTAGCGCTTGCATAATTAAAGTATATTATCTACAAAGAAGTATGAAAGTAAACCCAGACAGCAAATTGTAATTTATAAATTAAAATGAAATACACCAGAATAATATACTATCACAATAGTCCATGGTACATCAGTCCCCTTTTCATCAAATTATTAACAACCGCCTAAACCTATAGCTTTATCTCATCCTAACTTACAACGTTTTTATTTATGAAAATTCTTGGAAGTGGGCCTTTCAATCTGGAGATCAGCAAATTGTGTCTAATTAATTAGGTACTAAAAACTCATGAATACCCATTTGCTTTCCACTCGAATCATGAGATAATTTGATAAAAAAATCTAGAAAAAAAGTGACCTACAAAAATATTGGACCATTTAGCATGACCTCCATCCCCAACATGAAAAAATTATGAGACTATATAGAACAAATGACCCAATATTTTTGTAGGCCACACTTTTTTATTTTATTTTGTGATCATATTATCTAATGATCCAAGTGGAAAGGGTATTTATGATCCTTAGATACCTCAATAATTTGATTAATTTAATGAGAAAACGTTCCATTTCTGAGAATTTTTGTAGATAAAAATGTTTAGATTACGATACGATGAAGCCATTCACAAAATTTTAGGTGGATAAAAATCTGGTGCAACTTTCACTTACCAATTTTAGAGTAGATAAGTATTTTCTTAAAGGAAGTTGGAAGTGAAAACGACGGTGTAACTTCATTTAAAACGATTAATTACCATGTTTTTTCGACCCATCGAATCAGTTAAATTTATACATTTGCATCACTTTCCATTTCCTTTTATGACTGTATAGTATCAAACAATACTAGTGATTATGGGGAAAATGGATCTTTTGGGAAAAATTCTGAGTTTTATCAGAAACATTTATCATGAAACTCGTCGAAAAAATAAACTTAACGTTAGTAAATATTGCATATTATTAGATTTAAATTAATAAATCCTCAACATTTTGCATGAAAACCTTTTTAAAAAATTATGGATAAGTGATAAAACAAAAGTTAAACTAACAATTTGAAAGCCCTGTACAGAAGGGTACTGGGTAGGGGAGAGGATCGGCAAAGGTCAGGTGCTTTCGACTAAACAGCCGAGCTTTTTACCTAGCTTATACCATATAGCTTCCTACTCTTATTTTCCCTTTAGTTACTAATCAATTATCTTCATTCACTATATTTAACCATTTTTTGTAGCAGGCTCAAATATGAAATGGTTAATTATTTCAAATAAAAAGAAATTAAAGGTACTTTAGAGAAAGACATTTTGTAAAATCGGCATTTAAGTCCTGTCAGGTTGCATTGATGAGGATAAAACTTATGTTATATTAAAAACTTCTTAATAATACACTGATATACCGAGTTTAATCAAAATTGTTAGAGCCATTTTCGAGAAAATTGTAAAAATGTATAAAATCGATTATGTAAAGTACCACTTCCGATTTGTCGATTTTGTTGAAAAAGTTGCTATAACATCCCAGGGATATACAAACCTTAAATAAGCAATATCAGTTTCGTATGGCTTTTCGTTTTTGAGCTACTCTTCACACACACAGACCGTTTTGCCGGATGAGGTTATTTGGACTCAAGGAACCTCAAAACGTTTTTTTTTTCCATTGAAAACTCAGATTCGAAAATTTTCATGTTCCCAGTACTTATCCTTACTAAACAGGGTGTCCCGTGAGTAGAGGGAAATTTTTATAGGAGAAATAGCAGACCTCAAAGCTACAAAAAAGTATATATAAACAATGGACATATTCTCAGCAGAAAAGTATGAAGCAATAACAACAGAAATATTTAATTTAAGTAATTAACAATTGCTTCACTGTAAACTAGACAAAATTTACTTCAAATGGACATAAATTTTGTCATTATAAAATAATTTAAAGACAATTTTTGAGCAGCTGAACTAAGCTAATTTCTGCTTTTAGAAAACTCATAAATTATAAGTGATTTTTTTTTACCATTATTCGATTATACTAAAGATACACCACTTTCTCGTTTAATAACATTCAAGTCCATTTTAAATAAGTTGAGGTTTATTAGGCAAACATTTGAGATTCACCTCAAGTTGTGTAAAGAAATGATGTGATTTTCTAACCAGTCGCCTAAAAGTACTCGTGTTTCCAGCAAAAATTACTACAATTAACTATTGCAAAGCTTTTATTTCTTGTTTTTCCATGATCTGGGATGTATTGTAATACAAATAATTTCCTAAATACACATTTTATTTATAAAAATTAAAAAGAATGATTTTGCTAATATTTTTTATGTTAAGTGGTTATGACATTGTACTATTCTTCCAGATCTTGTTATAGGAATTTATCCGTATTTATCAGTGACAAAACTTAATGTTTTTAGCCCTAAAATTTATGTTTAAAATGAACAAATCTACTATTTGCTTCAATCATTTTCATTAAAACATATTTGGAATAGAAACATAAAGTTTGTTATTTATAAATACCCATCAATTCCTATAACAGAAATCTGGGAGAAAAAACAATTTCATAGCCACTTTACGTGAAAAATCATCATTTTTAATTTTTTTATTTTTATTAATAAAATGTGTATTTAGAAATTATTTTTACTACAGTAATCCCAGATCCAAAATAGAAAAAAAAAAAAAAGAAATAAAAGCTTTGCAATAGTAATTGTAGTAATTTTTGCTGGAAACACGGGTACTTTTAGGTGACCGGTTAAAAAATCACACCATTTCTTTACACACCCTGAGGTGAATCTCAAATTTTTGCCAAATAAACCTCAACTTAATTAATATGGACTTTAAGGTTATTAAACAAGGAAGTTTTTCTAAAAGTGAGGTATCTTTAGTAAAATCGAATAATGGTAAAAAAAAATCGCTCATAATTTATGAGTTTTCTAAAAGCAGAAATTAGTTAAGTTCAGCCACTCAAAAATTGTCTTTAAATTGTTTTGATAATGACCAACTCTATTTCTATTTTAAGTAAATTTTGTCTAGTTTATAGTGAAGCAATTGTTAATTACTTAAATTAAATATTTCTGTTGTTATTGCTTCATCATACTTTTCTGCTGAAAATAAGCCCATTGTTTATATAAACTTTATTGTAGCTCTTGAGGTCTACTCCTATAAAAATTTCCCTCTACTTACGAGACACCCTGTATATTACATATATAGGTAAGTGAAAGTAAAAAAGAGGTCTGTACCACTGACTATAAGATTTTTATTAAGGGATGGAATTTTATGAATCCAGAATAGGATATATTTTGATTATTAAATCATAATTGTTGAGGATCAGTCAGACTAAATGCAATAAATAATTATTAAAGCAGTCAATGTTCAGGTCAAGCTAAGTAGCCCATATTTAGAATAGTAAAAAGTTTGAAAGGGCTATTTTTTTTAACAAGAACTCATCACTTGGAACTTTTTCAAACTAAGGAATCTATTTGAAGACACATGATTTAGTTCTTTTTAAAATTTGATGTGTTCGATATACAGCAAATGTTTTTCATATGAAAATTTAAGATTCCTAAAAAATTTCTTAAGATGGAAGTTCATTCATTACACAAAGACTTGAATGTAGTTTTATAACATTAAGATTAAACACAAAGTAAAAAATAAATATACCTCATTCAAAAGTCTTTCTAGATTCCCAGACATTTCATAAAAATATCTTCTTGTGATTAATTTTTCTTCTGATTTATTCAAACAATCACGAGCTATTTCTATTACTTGATGATGAACAAATCTAATTATAGGTAGAGCATCTAAATCATTACAATCAATATGTTTATTTTCTAGAATGAAGCTTTTTAATCGTTCTTCCATTTGTCTAGTTGCCTAAAAAGATATGGATATCAAATTTCAATAGAAGCTATGTTTAATAATCATACAATAAATAACATTTATTTTATAACCTTGGGAAAACGTTCTTTGTAAAGCATATTCATCATCACTATATCGTTATCCATAATAGGTGAACGACTGGGACTGCTATAAAAAAAAGATGAAAAATTTAAGTAAGACATAATATAAACAGTTCTTAAAATAAAATCACAGATAAATACATTATTCACCTTCAAAAATATTGTTTATTTAGAGAGTGTCCCGTAAATGAGCAGAAATTTTTAAAGAGGTAATAGTAAATTTCAAGACTAACAAAAATGTTTATGCGTTAACCTAATTAACAGAATTTTTTACAAAAAGTAGACAGGATACTTCTAATTCCTTAAGAGGATTAAAAGATAAATATATTTAGTGGAATATTAAATACTATAAGTCTTAATCACCATAATTGAGATCTCCATAAAAAAACACTAGCACTATTAATTTTTGAAAAAGAAGCGTTCTTTAAAAAACAATTCAAAATGCAACTAAATGAGCATCAACAATGCCGAGGTCCTTGGAGCAGTTCTAATGGAAGGACGAGGGGAAGTGCTGTGCAAAAGGTAGGACAAATTGGAAATATTTGTTTAAAAAAATTTAATATTGATCATTAGCAAGAAAATTAAGTATTGTCATAAAATTTTATTATTTTGTCAATTTGTTAATTTCATTCATTATTTTCTAAACAAAAATTTCATTTGTTATACTCATTAAATATTTTATTTATTTTAAAAGTCTATTTTAATAATTAATTTATTGTAATTTATTCCAGGTCACAAAATATATATAAAATTTTATAATAGGGAAGATGACAAAATCAGTATTTCTCATTATCTGTCTTCTATAAGAGAACCTCCTAGCCATCATAAGAGTTTTGTAGTAGGGAACAATGTAATTCACTAGTACTAATAAGAGTGGGTCCATATTAAGTTAACTTATGACCAAAAGTTCAAATACAGAAAGAACACTTCAAAGTCCTTTTCAAATCTCAAGATGCAATAAATCAGCAGTCTTAAGTAATTTTTTCAACTTTCTCATAAAATATTCTAAGTGTGCAACTCCATACCAAAAACTCATAGGAGACCCGTTTCTTTTACTATAGTCGTGGTAATTGTTAGTTTGATTAAAATATCTAGAGGGGGAAAGATGAAAAATTCTGCATCTTAGCTCGAAGGAAGGCAAGGATGAACTATGGCACCAGTGCTGCATGTGCCGGCTCATTCTAAGTGTTTCAGATGGGACCAGAGAAACGCCAATCACATGGCCTATAAATGTGACTACTAGAATTAATTTTACTTTTTGTATACTTTAATTACTGTTTGTGGTTCCTTTCACAGTTCTATATTTTATCTTCAAGTAATATATTGATAAAGTTTAATAGGCATTCTTGATTAAATTGTTTGTAATGATGAATTAAAATCTCTGGTCATTTTGCTATCTTATTCCGCAGCAGGGGTAAGATGACGAAAATGATAATTGCAAAAGCTTAATCTCGTCACCTTACCCTTTCTTTCCTTATATATAACAATAATATAATAATTTTATATATATATATATATATATATATATATATATATATATATATATATATTGTAATGTAAATATTATATAGTGATTTTAAATAATGGCGCGAAGGCAGTAACGTCACAAGCTACTGTCAAAAATGGACAATTACAGATGGAAGGGAAAGCAAGTGCTATATGTGGGAAAGAAGGTGCCCAGCCGGCTAGTAAAGAGGGTCAAGAGAAGAAAATGTGACTAACAACTAGTGAGTGTCAACAAAGGAAGATTCAATGCAGAACAGGGTGAGTGAAATATAAATAGTGACAGTTCGAAATCGCGCCAAGAGTGGACCCCGACCAACAATGGAAATTCATAAATAAGTTATATAAAATTAAAGTATTTCTTTGTATTATATATTTGAGGAATGTGTGTTAGTTGCATTAACCCAATCTGAGAAATAATTACTGTGTAAAATATATATAATTTGATTCAGAAACTGTTTGTTTACTTTTCAAAGGATACGTAACCTAATAACATATAATAGGGTGTATAAAAAAAATGACCGTTTTTCAACCAAATATTTGTATTATTATTTCTTTGATATAAAATACAGTTAATACTCAAAGTATAGTCCATTGTTATCTACCACCATTAGCCATCAGCTATCCAATTGCTAGATCCGATGCTGATACTATTCTTTGAGATGGTTTTCAAAGAAATCTTGGACCACAATTTCAACTTCTGCAAAATTATCAATTTTTTTTTCTTTAAGAAAATGGGCCATGGATCTAAATAAGAAGTAATCCAATGGTGCGAGGTCTGGACTAAATGGTGGATGAGGCAGGAGTTCAAACCCATGAAGTTCTTTAATTTGACGGGAAGTGTGAGAAGAAGCATTATCTTGTTGGAATAAAATTCCTTTTCTGTTGATCAAAGCAGGATAATGCTCTGATAACTTTGTGTACAATTTTTTCAGTTGTTTGCAGTAGAGTTCAGAATTCATAGAGCATCCATCAGGAACAAATTCGTGATGAATAACACCTTCGAAATTCCAAATGCAAAGCATGAATTTTTTTTTTTCAAGTTGCCCTCTTGCAACAACCGGAAAAGCAGTTTGAACGCGATCTAGCCATTGCTCATGGGTATTCGGATTTCACCAGTAAACCCGCTTTTATCACAGGTGACAATCTTTCAGTAAAATCTCATATCAGAAGGGTTTTTCAATAAATTTTCACAAATTTCCAACCTCTTAGCTGATCGCTGAGGAGTAAGTTCGTGAAGGACCAGTCTACTGCTCTTTCCCACCTTCCCCAAGGAAATTAGATGGTGATTAACAGAATCTTTCGATAGAGCCACACTCCCTGGCAAGTTCGTGAGTACTTGTGGACGGATTTGACTCAACAGTTCCCTGCAGAATCTCATCAATATCCATTAGTGATCGCCCGAAGCCCTTTATCCTTTCCAACATTGTATCTTCACTGCTAAATTTTAAGTTTGCAGGAACCATGAATTTTAAGTTAGGATGACCGCTACAAGGAAAATATTTACTAAATCATCAGTTTCTAAGCTATATCTTCTGATATATAGTAAATGAAACAAGTAGGAAGAAGACTAATTAGCTTTTTCAAAAGCTGCTGAGAACAAGAGATGCATCTGAGGAATTATATAGCCCTTAGTGATTCACAAGTAATCAGTAACATAATGATAATGGATTAAAACCTAACTGCATTAATTCTCGCAGCTGAGTCAAAAAATGCAATAACGTCATGAACTCATGAGTGATTCTAGCAGTAAACAACTACATAGTAGGATTTGCAATTCCCTGACTTCAATAAGAATTAGTCATTCTGCCCCCATTGAATGGCTTAGAAAAGATAAACTGTTCCCAGAAACAGATGATCTTCTTGCTATACAGGAAGAAGTAGTGGTGACTTACTACTACTGCAAGTACATTTTTAACCACGATATTAGTGAAAAATTCCATCTTTGTAATAAAGGAGCAATAGAGTTCATTCAGCTTATCATAACAGGATGCACAGATATAAGCAGGAAAAGAAACTAGAAAAGCATAACTTGGCAAAAGTAATTCACTAAAGTCTTGCCAAATATTATAAATTTACAAAGAGAACAAACTCTATTGAAATTAGTCAATAATCATGGATCATACACTACCAAACAATAAACTGAATATCAGCCATTGAACGACCTTGAGGTCGGGACCCTTTCCTGAGGCACACCCAGCCTCTACAAAGTGAGCAATCTTGATTAATTAAGTAGAAAAACCTGGTTTCTTAACAAAGTATGAATACAAGACTCTTCATGGGTTGTAGTGCTACAAGAAAAAATAAATAAAAATAGGAAACTGATAAAAAAAAAAAAAAAATCCATATTATCTAGATTTTACAACAGTAGGCACACAGAACTCCATATTCATCAAAAATTCCTTTTCTACCAAAACGCTATTCATATTCATATTTAATTTCTATTTAACAAAAATGTGACAAACTTACAAAAAACACAAAATTTAAGTATACACCTACTCTGTTCGTAATTGGTTGCTCTATTGCTCCTGAGGTCTACTATCTTTAAACATTTTTGGTCATTAACGGGATGCCCTGAATATTCAAATATACTTCATTATTATAGTTTTCATGTTCTACATCATAAACTGCTAATCTTTATACCAAGTTATTGTTAAAAGTATACATTAAAGAATTCCCTTTCAAATAATAAGCTTAATCATGTATTTTTTTTCTTTATCCTTCAAAATAAGTCTTTATTAAAAAATCCAGTAGTGATTTTCTTTTGATAAAATTAAACAGATTCATCCTTGAATAGAGCACAACACTAATGCCAAAATATTAAGTCTCATGTGATGTAAATTTTAACAGACCATTTATTGTTACAAAAAAAAAAGATAGAAATTTCAATGCAAACAAAGGTTATGGCAGGATTGGTTAAAAATCTTTCAGTTATCAAATCAATTGTTGCTGACAACCTTGACTTAATCAGTTAGTTTTGGTATTAATCTTTTAATTGAGGTATAATACATTTAACCACACTTAAGGGCACTGAGTATTAGAGCTGTGAGGCACATTCAAACCATACAATCAGTTAGTGAAAAAAGTAGATAAATGAGTTCCAATAATTTCCAAAGCAATAATGAAACCATTCACTTGTCTAGTACCACAAACCTTAGGCTATAGTCATTGTCAAATATTCTTAGCTAATTTTTATTTTATTTTTTGGATAGTATGGTACACCTTGGATTTCTTCCTACTGATGCAGTTCGCAGAAAGAATTCATCTTTCTATCACCTCAAAAATTATCAGTATCAAAAAGACAATAACTACAACCCCTAGAAAATGAAACTCACACTTCATCTAACTACTTTTTTTATTTTTTTAGTCTCTTCTTACAAGTAAACAAACTGATAAAACTACAAATAAAAAAAGCATTGATAATTCATAAACTGTTAAGATATTAATTTCTATTAAAGGGAATATAAGAAAATCTCTGATCCATTAAATGAGGATGTGTGGGTCAAACCCAATATTGTGAAGTTTGACATTGCTGTTCAGAGTTGAATGGCTTCAATTTCCACCAAGTAAGATTGGTGATTGTTCGATAGCACTATTGATCATTACAATAGTCATCACTATCGAAAAGCCTAACAATTGATGTTGAAGTATAAATAACATAGGTGATATAACACTTATATTGATAGTGTCTATCACGTACCTACCAAGTCTAATCTTTCAAGAAAAAAAATATGAAGAAATAAGGCTGTAAAACTTGAAAACTGATAAAAGGATTGGCTTATTAAAGTTTTTGAAACAAATTAAGTATTGCTGCTAATAAGAATGAGTTAGCACTTTTTAAAGCTGATTCCATCATATTAATAATAGTTTATCAATTATAAATAGGTTGGGTATGAGATGTTTTTAAAAGAAAAATGAAGTTCAAAGTGGAGCCACCTGCAATTTGTGCCAAAAAGATACAAAACATACTCTAACACACTTAACTCATAGATTCATTTAATTACGTACCATAAAAATTTTTAACAACAGTATTGATAACTACCAGTAAATATTATTGAAACAATTACCAACCTCACTATCTAAGGGGGTCAGTTAATATAAATTTCATGAAGGTTCCACATAATGAACCTTGACTTATCAATTCCGGTTAAGAATGGGTGGCAGGCTATAAATCGGAAAAATTACTAATATCCCATTCGTGGGATAAGTTTCTCCACAAATAACAGTTCCACATTAAATATAGTAATACATTAAAAAGTAAGTTGACACTAACAAGAAGCTATTTTTATTAAATAAGTCTTGATTAATTAAATATGTTTTCAACATGTAAACTCAAATGCATGCACTCATAAACACACATTTTTATAATTTGTAAGTAGTATAGAATTGTTTATCTTTTCTGTATAGTTTAGTTACAAATTATAAAAAAAAAAAAAAAAAAAAAACCTTAAACTCCTGGAACGTGGACGATTAAATGGACTTTTTCTACCTTCATCTTCTGCACTTTCGTTGGATGAAAAGTGTCTTATTAATATATGAAGCTCATCATTAGTTGGAATATTGGGTAATTGATGAAGACGTTCCTGGCTTGAGCAAAGAGACTGAAAAATATGTTTTTATAGTCAACAAACATGAGAATAACACAAACCAAAACTTAAAGAAATTGTAATAGAAGCAAGAAACCCATTTCTTCAAAAACAGTGCTATAAAGTAAAATTGATTAAAGTTATCACAGTAAATCCTTAAGAATATATATATATATATATATATATATATATATATATTTTTTTTTTTTTTTTTTTTAAAGAATATTAAACCTTTGGACTTCCCATAATTATGAATCTGTACAGATGAGTGAAGGAGTGACTGTTAATCAAAAGTTTTACTGCTATCATTAAGGTTTAGATTGAAGTTTAACTGTCTTATCAGAACATTATTCCATGAAATTCTTTCCAGGTTAATGAATAATAAAATCAAGTCAAGCTGCTTTAAATAGCCCCCTCTATATTATCCATATTGTATTCCATATTACATAACCTATTCAGTAATAAAAAAGTATACCCTGACCGAGGATTCGTGATAGAATATTGCCAAGAAAACATGCTACAGACGCATCTTGAAAATATTCCCTAATAATTAATAATACTAGTTTTACCAATAATGTTATTTAACAATTCCTTTTAAACATCACATAAGAAATTATTATAATAATCCTTTCAAATATCATAACTTGTCAAATTAAAAACTAATAAATAATAAAACCATGAACATACACACTGGTGGACAAAATTATTACATTCCCATCAATTATGTTTAAGGAATTCATAGTATATTAATTTACTTATTGTAAATCGCCTTCCTATGCTCTCAAAGAAGTTGCTAACAAAATCTAGCAGTGTACTGTCAGATTCCTCAACAACAGTTGTTTCCAATACTTCAAATGTATTCTTAGTCGAATTCTGGTACCGCACAGGTTGCTTACATATACTATTACATTGTATATATCGATTATACTGTTGCCTGAATATACTTTATCTGATTAAGGTATAGATTTATTGGTGGCCACTCCAGAAATATATCAACCGCCTAGAGATAATCAACTATACTCGTAACAACATACGTGGTCATGTATTGTCATATTTCAACAGGAACTGTTTTCAATGTAGGTGTCAAAGAGCACTCAGAAATGTTCATCTGACTAGTCTATACACCTCTGAGCATTCACTGTATGCCACCAAAAATTCTGTATGGACACCAGAAATACCATCCTAAAACATATATGAGCCTCCTTGGAAGGATATCTGAAGGATCATATTACATAGAGCATATTGTTTACATGGACATCTAAATGTAAACATTGCTATCTGAGAGAGAGAGAGAGAGAGAGAGTCTATAAAATATAAAATTTACAATAAGATTCATTCTTACATCATTATTAAAAAGAACTTCAAGTTCTCAAAACTGTAATCAATATGTTGTAAGCAAATTCAAGACAGTATCTATTGTGAACTATGGAGAAAAGAAGGCCACATGCAGGGTATCTGAGTATTGTTTCAGTCAGTCTTTCTCTTACTGTCAGATTGGATAATTCACACGGCTTGTAAGCTTATTAAACAAGAAAATTTTTCTAAAGGTGAGTAAACTCTAGTCCAGTCGAAAGCTGATAAAGAAATTGACAAAAATTCATGATTTAAAAAAAACAAAAATTTCTTAATATAGCCACTCAAAAGCTGCTATCTTCAAAAGGTTTAAACAAATACAAATTCTACTTATTTTTAAAAACATTTGGTCTAATCCATAATTGGGAATTACTTTACTTATATAGTTCTCAGTTATTATATGTAACTCAACAAAAAACGTGACAACCTTAAAAAACACAAAATTTAAATTTAATCCTTCTCAGTTCAGAATTAGACTATAGCCCAAATGAATTTTTGTTACGATCAGCCTCTTAAGTTTCAGAGATTTATGTTATTTTTTCCTGAATAGAAGAATACATCCCAAAAATTAGAAACTAAGGGAAAAAAAAAAAAAAAAAGGACACTAAAAATCATCAAGACATTCAAGTATCAGCAAAGGCAAATCATTACACCAAAAATAATCATAATTATAAAATTAAAAATACGATAATAGAATAAAAAAAACTCATAGATGCATTATATAAAAGAACAAATATAAAAAGGGTGCTAAATTTTAAAACAGATATAGGAGGCATGGGTAACAGTTATACAGATATAAATAATATAATAGATAACTGAATACAATTTTTAATGCATAAAAGTAATACAAACAATAAAAAGAACCAGGATAATAACATGAACAAACGATAAATCCAAAGACATATTGAATATTTAATAGTTGACCGTTGCATTATAAAGGAAGGATATAATCCGGGGTGTAGGTCACAAATAGGCTAAATAGTTTACAACTATTTAGCCTATTTATGACCACCATCCCAGACCATCTCCTTCCTTTATAAATCCAAAGAGTATGTGAAGGAGGGTGGAAATGGGTGAGCATTTTTTATTTGAGTTAGGAATCCAACAATACTTAGAATGGAAGGAATTTAAATTTAAATTATGGGTCAGTATTGATTATTATATTGAAATAAATAAATAAAAACCCCTACCACTACAACCCATTCATATATATATATATATATATATATATATGAAAACCTATAGAAGGAAATTGTTTAGATAAAGAAATGAAGTGGATATATATATCAAGTAAAAGAGAAATAACAAACACAAAAATAAATTTAAAGTAATTAAATATTACACAGGCATTAAAAATTTACAATGAGAATGATAAATTGTCAGAATTTGCAATATCTTCTTTCTTATTTTTCTTCCACCCACTTGCCTTTCAGCATGCAGGTGCTTCTAAACACCGGTGGAATGAGTTTCTGTCTCTGGCAAGGTATCTTATTTCTTCCAGGGTCTTTCCAGATATATTATATATATATATATATATATATATTATCTACACAAAACACACTAATCAGAAAGGAATACTACCCATCAAATAATATAATATAACATAATATAATTTAAAACAATATAATATAATATGACATAACATAAAACAACCTAATAATATAAATCTATAACCACAAAATCACACCAAGCCACACAATGGGACATTAGACCTAATTATTACACCAACCGCACTTTATGATGCCACAGGGTACTACAATTACAGGATATCACTACTACAACGCAAATCGAAATATTCTACAAACAAACAATATATAAGAGAAAAAATATTGATAAACTATAATTATCTATACATTTTGGATAAATGCTCTTAAATTGAGGCTATAAACAGTATAATAATATAAACTGAATATCAGCTCTCTAGTTATTGTTTTTATAAATGATGTAAACATGGCAGGGGTCGTTGAATTTAGTGTGGGTAATAGTTCTAGCCTACAGGAAATATAAATTGGACAGGGACAGGTTATGAAAAAATGATATAAACTTTCCCTTTCATTCAAATTACACAAGCACAAACTTTCTGTTTTGAGTGTTGTGATAAGTCTATTATGAATCAACTTAATAAACTTTATGTTTGAAGTTCTTATCTGCGTTATAAGTTTTGTAAATCTAAATGGGGCTGGAGATGTAAGGATGGCTTGAGTTTTTAGTCGAGCTAGATGTTAAGAATAGGTTTCAAGCTTTAGAACCTTCTGAAGAGGACCACGAGGATATTGAAAAGTTATGGGTAGAGATCAGGGATAATAATAAAGCTGTCGTTAACTTGTGTCTAGGAAAAAGGGAAAATAAGAATAACAAACCATGGTTTGATAAAGATTGCTTAAACATGAACGAAAAAAGTAAAGCCGCTAAATTAAAAAACCTAAATAATCCTAGCGAAGACAATCTGGAGTACTTCCGAATCTTAAAGAAGGAAACGACAAAATTCCTCAAAAATAAAAAAAGGAAGTATCTTAAAAACAAAAAAATAGAAATAGAAACTAATAGAATCGAAAATAACATAAGAGACATGTACAAAGGTATAAAAAGATCACGGAAATGTTTAGGGTCCGTCACATCTGAAATTAAGGAAGAAAATAACAATATTCTGAATGATCCGGTAGACATATTAAGTAAGTTTGAGAACCATTTCGACAATAAGTTAAATACGGGAAATTATAATCTATGTCCTCCTTCTAAGTACCAGAATGCTGAACAGTTAATAGAAGAACCAAGTAAAGAGGAAGTTGAAGTAGCTATTGGAAAATTAAAATCGTATAAAGCAGCGGGAACCAATAATATTCCTAGTAAACTAGTTAAGCCAATGCGGGGAAGCCGGAGTTTCTAAAATACATTTGTTGGTTAAAAAGATCTGGGAGAATGAGAAATTACATGAAGAATGGAAAGAATCTATTCTTAATCCGATTCACAAAAAAGGCCTGAGGACAGATTGTAATAACTATCGGGAAATTTCACTCCTTCTGGTATGTTATAAAATATTCACTTTAATCTTAACTAGTCGAATCACGGAATATGCTGAGGAAATTATCGGCGACTAGCAATGCGGATTCAGACGGAACCGTTCGACTATTGATCAAATATTTTCCTTATGGCAATTATAAAAAATTAGAGTAAAACGGTGTTGTTGACCAGCGCTGTATATTGATTTCAAAAAGGCTTACAATTCTATTGACCGCAAGAAACTATATAATATTCTAATTGAGCAGGGGATCGCCAAAAAATTAGTGATTCTAGTCAGGATGTGCTTGACAGAAATACTCAATAAAATTAGAATCGGTAATAATTTATTCGAAAAGTTTGATGTTCGTTCGGGTTTAAAACAGGTTGATTCCGTTTCGACTGTCCTGTTCAATTTGGCATTAGAACATGCCATTACGGAGGTAATGTGTACCGAAAAAGGGTTGGATCTGGGTGGGGCAACACCCATCCTTGGCTATGCGGATGATCTGGTTCTGTTATGCAAAGACACAGAAACTATAAAACTACATACGACAACGTTAATGAAAGCTGGCAAAGAACTAGGGCTCGAAATAAATATGGATAAGACAAAATATATGGTTAGCTGCAAAAATGGTGATATAACTGGTGATTTGTTTGAACAG